CGGTGAAGTAGGCTGCCGGCCGCAGTCCTGTGCAGGCGCGTGCGCAGCAGCGCCGGAGGCCTGTCCGCCCTGCCCCGCGGGAGGTCCCGGAAACGCTGGCAGCCTTCCGGGAAATGTCCCGCTCCATCCTGAGCTCTCGGGATGTGGAACCCGGGAGCCGCGCGCGTGTGGTAGTGCCAGCTTGCAGCGTGCGAGGGGAAGAGGAAGGCCGTGGGCGTCCGGAAGGCGAGGGATGGCCTGTGGAGTCACGCACGGAGGACGCTGTCTCTGGAGCGCTGGGCAGGTGGTGCCGAGCCTTTGCCGGGCTGGTGGGGCGGGGGGCCCCAGGCCTCGGCCGAGGCTGCTGGGCGTCGCTGCGGGACCGAGCGAGTGCGCGGGGCATCCCCGAGGCCCGGCGAAGCTTAACTCTGCAGTCGTTGCCAGTCATTTTGTAAGCACCAAGCCACAGTACCTGTCTTCATCCTTTTTTGTTTCCATTTGGTGTGCGTTTTAACCAACAGCCACGGCTCTCAGCAGGTGCGGAGGCTGCCCTGGTTTTACAGATGAGGAAGTCGAGGCACAGGTAGGCTAAGCATTTACTGAGATTCATTCCATTTAATGTCTGGAAGGGCACAGCCTGATCTCATGCCTGTGTGTCTGATGGAGGATTCCTGGGCTAGTGAGGTTGGGTGGGATGCTGCTGTCCCCTGAGTGACTGCAGCCTGAGCCCAGCTCTTCTCAACAGGAGTGAGTAGGAAGAATGGGAGGAGTAATTACCGAGCACCCAAATGGTTGGGAAACTAGACATGTCAAAGGGGGACGTGGTATTCAAATAAAGCGTTCTGAGGTGGTTGGATCAGAGCGGCTGCATGGAGGTTGCTCTCCCTTGCATTTTTTTTTTTTTTTTTTAATTTAGTACAGGGTCTACAGGGTCTCACTATGTACATCAGACTTGTAGGGATCCTCCTGTTTTACAGCCTCCCAAGCGCTGGGATTACAGGCGCGCACCACTACGCCCAGTTTCAGTCAGACTCAGTGTGCCCCGGGGGCGAGGCCAGTGTGGCAAGCGGAACCCCCATCCCTGCATCTGCCTAAGCAGGCGCTTTAATCCGTTGAGCTATTTGGCCAGCCCTCCCCCCACTCTTGTTAGCCTTACCGCCAGGTCTGCCCCCCGGGAGCATTTGGCCATCAGCTGGGGTTTTCCGCTGAGCGTCACCTGTGTGTCCTTTGCTGTGTGGGCTGTGGGGCTGAGCCACTTCCTCTGCAGCTGTGACAGCCACTCTTGAGTCTGTGTTGCGGCTCCCCAAGGGAGCAGTACTTGGGCAGAGGCTTCGAGGTGCTGCACTCAGTTGGTGGTCTCTTGCCAGTGAGCTCGGATTGAGGGCAGGTGGCTGGCCGTCCAGTTGCGCGACGCTCGCTCTAAGAGACTTGAGGGTGAGGACGCCAGCCCCCTCTCAGCTCCCGACAGTGTCCCTGGCGTGGTGACGCTCAGCGGAGTCACTGTTCTCCCTCCTGCCTTCACTTTCCACTGTGCTGTGTGGAGTAATTTCTGTGGCGCAAACCCTAAAGTGGCACCACAAGCCTCACTCTAGCCTTTCCCGTCTAGAGCTTTCACTGTCTGGGCAAATGTGTGCACCGGTGAGCTGTGAACGTGCCTGGTGGGAAGACGCGTCTGTGTGTGCTTCTGTCCTCGCTGGTGTCTGCAGTGGGCCGCCCGGCGGGAGGCCCTGGGCACTCACGCCTGGGCCCTGCAGCCTTCCGCATCTGACAGCCCGCTGCTGGCCAGCTCCTCTTCTGGGCCTCAGCGCCGACGCTGATGTTCTGAGCATGTTAAAGCCTTCCTTCCGCTTTTTCTCTTTTACCCTCAGCAACCACTTTGTTTCTTAGAGCATCGCACTCCTGTGGGGTTCATCTTCGGCTGTGAGGCCCAGCCCTCTTCCTCCGCACTTGTGAGGCCTCTCCTTCTCAGCCTCTGCAGACCCAACGGATGTCAGGATGGGGGAGCGTCACGGGTGTCCAGACTAGGCTGCACCGTGGATGCAGCACAGGACGCCTGAGTGTGGCTGCTTCACCCACGGGATGGTGGCGCTGTGCCGTGTGTGTCGCTCATGTCCCTTTGGGCTGCCCTGTGGCTGCGGTGTGGGAGGGCTGCGCTCGGGTCTGCAGTGATGGGCAAGCCATGCTGACTGACTGACTTTTAGCACCTATTTGTACAAAGCAAGTTAAATTCGATCTATCAGCAGTCTGCCAGGCTCTCTGGACTGCACTGAGCTACATCCCCAGCTCTTTTGTTATGGGACAGATGTCACCGAGTCACTAAGTTGCCCTTGTTGGGCCCTAAGTTTCGATCTTACTGCCTCAGCCTCCCAGACTGCTGGGATAATAGATCCATACTACTATGCCCCTGTCTAAAATAATACATTTTTGAAATAAGTAGATAATATTTATAAAAGGAGCTACTGCTATATTTGTACCACAGCGCTGATAAATATTTGTGGGTTTAAAGAATCTGTTGTACAACCAGCTGTAGACAAAACTGTGTGTATTTGTGAAGTGCGGATCGTGGTACAGGATTTGTTTTTCGCTGTCTTACACGATCATACAAGGCAGGTGGTAGTGTGAGGTAAGTGCCAGCGCAGAGTCGCGGTTGGAGCTTCTCAGCTTGGTCCC